TTGCGTGGACTACCGTGAGCTAAATGCTGTAACTCGCCCAGATAACTATCCAATGCCACGCACAGATGAACTATTAGAGAAACTGGGACGGGCCCAGTACCTCTCTACCTTGGACTTAACCAAGGGGTACTGGCAGGTACCGCTAGATGAATCTGCCAAGGAAAGGTCAGCCTTCACCACACATCTCGGGCTGTATGAATTTAATGTACTCCCTTTCGGGCTGCGAAATGCACCCGCCACCTTCCAAAGACTTGTGGATGGTCTCCTAGCAGGATTAGGAGAATATGCAGTCGCCTACCTTGACGATATGGCCATATTTTTGGATTCCTGGGCAGACCACCTGGAACATCTACAAAAAGTCCTTGAGCGCATAAGGGAGGCAGGACTAACTGTTAAGGCTGAGAAGTGTCAAATAGGCCTAAACAGAGTGACTTATCTTGGACACCAGGTGGGTCAAGGAACTATCAGCCCCCTACAGGCCAAAGTGGATGCTATCCAAAAGTGGCCTGTCCCAAAGTCAAAGAAACAGGTTCAATCCTTCTTAGGCTTGGCCGGTTATTACAGACAATTTGTACCGCAATACAGCCAAATCGCCGCCCCACTGACAGACCTAACCAAAAAGAAACAGCCAAATGCCATTCAGTGGACCGAAAAGTATCAGAAGGCCTTTAACAAGCTTAAAGCGACACTCATGTCTGACCCTGTACTAAGGGCCCCAGACTTTGACAAACCGTTCCTAGTAACCACAGATGCGTCCGAGCGTGGTGTGGGAGCAGTTTTAATGCAGAAAGGACCTGATCAAGAATTCCACCCTGTAGTATTTCTCAGCAAAAAACTGTCTGAGAGGGAAAGCAACTGGTCAGTCAGTGAAAAAGAATGTTACGCCATTGTCTACGCTCTGGAAAAGCTACGCCCATATGTTTGGGGACGGCGTTTCCACCTGCAAACCAACCATGCTGCACTGAAGTGGCTTCACACCGTCAAAGAAAACAACAAAAAACTTCTTCAGTGGAGTTTAGCTCTCCAAGATTTTGATTTCGACATCCAACACATCTCAGGAGCTTCTAACAAAGTGGCTGATGCACTCTCCCCTGAAAGTTTCCCAGAATCAACTGGTTAAAATCGTCTTTGAGATGTGGAAAATATTGTTAGTCTTTATGTACTTGGTAGTATATTTAGAGATGCATGTGTCTTATTAACTCTGTTTTTCTTAGAGCTCCAGGAAGAAATCCCAGCCAGTGTTTCACCCTAGCTGAGATCTGGGGGGCGTGTCAGAAATATAAAGGGAAGGGTAAACCCCTTTAAAATCCCTCCTGGCCAGAGGAAAAATCCTCTCACCTGTAAAGGGTTAAGAAGCTAAAGGTAACCTCACTGGCACCTGACCAAAATGACCAATGAGGAGACAAGATACTTTCAAAAGCTGGGAGGAGGGAGAGAAACAAAGGGTCTGTGTGTCTGTCTATATGCTGGTTTCTGCCGGGGATAGACCAGGAATGGAGTCTTAGAACTTTTAGTAAGTAATCTAGCTAGGTATGTGTTAGATTATGATTTCTTTAAATGGCTGAGTAAAGAATTGTGCTGACTAGAATGACTATTTCTGCCTGTGTGTCTTTTTTGTAACTTAAGGTTTTGCCTAGAGGGATTCTCTATGTTTTGAATCTAATTACCCTGTAAGGTATCTACCACCCTGATTTTACAGAGGTGATTCCTTTACCTCTATTTACTTCTATTTCTATTAAAAGTCTTCTTGTAAGAAAACTGAATGCTTTTTCATTGTTCTCAGATCCAAGGGTTTGGGTCTGTGGTCACCTATGCAAATTGGTGAGGATTTTTACCAAACCTTTCCCAGGAAGTGGGGTGCAAGGGTTGGGAGGATTTTGGGGGGAAAGACGTGTCCAAACTACGTTTCCCAGTAAACCCAGTTAGAGTTTGGTGGTGGCAGTGGATATTCCAAGGACAAAGGATAAAATTAATTTGTACCTTGGGGAAGTTTTAACCTAAGCTGGTAAAAGTAAGCTTAGGAGGTTTTCATGCAGGTCCCCACATCTGTACCCTAGAGTTCAGAGTGGGGGAGGAACCTTGACAGCATTATTAAGGATCTACAACCTATCCTGAAGGATGACCCAACACTCTCACAAATCTTGGGAGACAGGCCAGTCCTTGCCTACAGACAGCCCCCCAACCTGAAGCAAATACTCACCAGCAACCACATACCACACAACAGAACCACTAATCCAGGAACCTATCCTTGCAACAAAGCCCGTTGCCAACTGTGCCCACATATCTATTCAGGGGACACCATCACAGGGCCTAATAACATCAGCCACACTATCAGAGGCTCGTTCACCTGCACATCCACCAATGTGATATATGCCATCATGTGCCAGCAATGCCCCTCTGCCAGTACATTGGTCAAACTGGACAGTCTCTACGTAAAAGAATAAATGGACACAAATCAGATGTCAAGAATTATAACATTCATAAACCAGTCGGAGAACACTTCAATCTCTCTGGTCACGCGATTACAGACATGAAAGTTGTGATATTACAACAAAAAAACTTCAAATCCAGACTCCAACGAGAAACTATTGCATTGGAATTAATTTGCAAATTGGATACAATTAACTTAGGCTTGAATAGACATTGGGAGTGGCTGAGTCATTATGCAAGGTAACCTATTTCCCCTTGTTTTTTTCCTACCCCCCCCCCCGACGTTCTTGTTAAACCCTGGATTTGTGCTGGAAATGGCCCAACTTGATTATCATACACATTGTAAGGAGAGTGATCACTTTAGATAAGCTATTACCAGCAGGAGAGTGGGGTGGGGGGAGGTATTTTTTCATGCTTTGTGTGTATAAAAGATCTTCTACACTTTCCACAGTATGCATCCGATGAAGTGAGCTGTAGCTCACGAAAGCTTATGCTCAAACAAATTGGTTCGTCTCTAAGGTGCCACAAGTACTCCTTTTCTTTTTGCGAATACAGACTAACACGGCTGTTACTCTGAAACCAGAATTCTTTGCTGATCCATTCAATGGTTCCCCAATTCCAGGAAAATTGAGGTAAAAAGCACTGACTGGGTCTCTGGCTACTCTGCCCACAGTCAGTCTGTTGGGATCCTGGAGATGGGTGGGCAGAGCTCAGTGCTAAGAAGAACTCATTAAGTAAATTATTAAATTTTTAAATACTGAAATTAAAAATGTTGGTTTTGGACTGTTACATTGTTATTAAGAACAAGCTAGAAACTGTTTTGTCATTCTTCTTCATTGTGCCTGACAGTTAGTATCAAACCCGGCAATGCTTTTCAGCAAGATGCCACCACTAGCACTAGGCTTAAAAGGGCAAATTGTAATTAAACACTTCACAGAAACACACTTCACAATTTTTTTCCATATTTAAAAGTGCTGTTTACTCTGTGAACTTTTAGATTGTTGGGGAAAAGAAAATGGATACTGACAGGTTTCAGAGTAACAGCCGTGTTAGTCTGTATCCACAAAAAGAAAAGGAGTACTTGTGGCACCTTAGGGACTTAACAAATTTATTAGAGCATAAGCTTTCGTGAGCTACAGCTCACTTCATTGGATGCATGCAGTGTATCTCTGACAGCTTATGCTCTAATAAATTTGTTAGTCTCTAAGGTGCCACAAGTACTCCTTTTCTTTTTAAAATGGATACTGTTTCTGTTAAGGAGAATAACAACACACCTGTGCAGTGCACTATTTTCAAACCTTCAGAATTTTGTTATTGTTATAAAGGTATTTAAAGAAATTGAAGGTGCTAGTACTCATTCAAGATTATGTAAATACCAAGTTGAGTCACAGAGTTTAGGAACATAAGAATGGCTATACTGGGTCAGACCAAAGGTCCATCTAGCCCAGTATCCTGTCTTCTGACAGTGGCCAATGCCAGGTGCCCCAGTGGGAATGAACAGAGCAGGTAATCATCAAGTGATCCATTCCCTGTCGCTCATTCCCAGCTTCTGGCAAACAGAGGCTAGGAACGCCATCCCTGCTCATCCTGGCTAACAGCAACTGATGGACAAATCCTCCATGAATTTATCTAGTTCTTTTTTTAATTTAAAGTAGAAGGGACCACCAGATGATACAGTCTGACCTCCTGTATATCACAGGCCACTAAACAACCCTCCACTAATCACCCACCAAGACAACAACCAGAATTAGACCAAATTATAACAGTCCTCAGGAGACTAAACTCTTTGCATGCCACAGGGCGAGAATACAAAGTTTGAACATCCAAAACAGTTTTTGACTTTGCTAACTTTTAAAATAGCATTGGAAAAATTGGTAGCATCAGAAAAATGGAACATTTTTGTCTTCTAATATTTAGGGTAGTCCTGGTAATTAACAACAACAACAACAAAAAAAGACAAGCAAAATACTTTTATGAAAACTTTAAAAAAAAATTAGTCCTAGGCAGCACCCAAGCATAACATATTTCAGCTCAAAGGTGATTTTCGGAGAACTTTGTGGGACTGAAGTAAGAATTTGGAATAAAAGTGCTATTTCACTATTAACATCTCTTATATCAATATCAGTAGGCCACATTCTGCTCTGATTCACACCCATGTAACACCACTGACTTCAATGAGCCATGAATGTGATTGTCAAATTTGTCTTGTCGTCTTCACTATAATGCTAACACTGTAATTGCTCAGTGGAGAGATAGCCTCATCAATCAATGAGATGATAAGTGCATTGGAAATACCTAAAATAAATAGAATTGATTAAATTCAGGGGCCTCATTTCAGAAAAATTCTAGGGGAAGAAAAGTTGTGTCAGCATATAGAACATTATATGTGATTATATTATACTCTGAAAAGTCAGTGGGGAGGGCCAAAGGGGAGCATATAGACCTATGAAAAATCAGGAGGCAAACACCAGTCTGGTGGAAGGGCAACTGCCCACATTGTCCCATAGCAAATGAGGCCCCTAATTAAATTGACAGATGGATGCATCAGTAATCAGGTCAATTTCACTTACTTGGATTCTAGAAGCTGAAGGATTTCTGGTGAGTTAAGAAGTCCTTCAGATGTCAGAAACACATACGGAATTTGCACCTCCAGAAGGAAGCAGCCAAAATTTTCACCTGAAACATTTTCAGATTTAAAGATAAATAATGTAACAGCTTCACAAAACAGAGAATATAAGAGATGATAGTTTTAGGTATTCAAATGGACATATCTTTTTGAAAATGTAGACTATATATATCTTCATTAAAAATATTTCTGTTTAATTTTCTTCTTGTGCGAATAGTTTCAGATTCTAGAAGGCCCTTCCTAGTTTTGTCTTGTATTCCCCCAGAATTGAAGCAAGGCTCCCACTGCATGAAGAACACTGGATACAGCCTCTATCAACGCTGAACTACCAGATATTCAAAGAGGTTCTCTCAGGAGCTCAATGCGTTTCACTCCTTATCTTTGCCAGGATTGGGCTCAAATCCAAAACTTTTTCCCACCTTACTCCTGTTATGTACATAATTCAAGAGACGATCTAGCTCAATATGCTTAGCTTTAGCCATTATTATTATTCTCTCTCTCTTTTATGGGCACATACTTGTAAACATTTTAGAGAATACAAATCCCTTTTTCAGGTGCAAGACCAACCTTTCATTTGAATTCTAGGAGGCATTTACTTACCCACTACAAGTGTTTCTGGAAGAGTGGTTTTAAAAGTTACGTAAGTAATATTCAAATTTTTGCACAGCTCATTCCAGCAGGAGTTCTCTGTATAATCATACTCCACCACTAATGAGAAAAGTGTCCAAGGAAAGTCAGCTCCAATGTGCTGATTATGTACAATAACACAGGAACATCTGCTCAGACTGAAAGAGAAATATCCAGAAAATTATCTTTCAGCCTGATTACTCCCAGTACAAAATAAAAACTCGTAAATGTGTAAACTTGAATAGACAGTGTCAGTTGTTTAAAGGATAATTTAAAAACTGAGTTTATCCTTTCTGTATTAGAAAATTTTAATTATTTTTATTAAATACTTCACTAACTCCAGTTATCTGCATTAGGTCTTCATATTATCTGCTATCACCTTTCATTTCAGGCATGAGCTAACAAGTTAGGAGAGTTTCTACAACCTCAACTGGAAAGGGGTAGAGGGTCTTGTAAATTAGCTTTTCATGTTGCATCATCAGTTTTATTACAGTGCCCATCTATATCTCTTTTTTTCCCTGGGGATTCTTCACATCAGTGATTTCAGTAGGACTACTCATACTTAAAGTTAAATAGTAACTACTATACTTAACTGCTGATTTGGATTGGGCCAGAATGTTCATCACCTTACAGAATGAAACACATAGGCCCAAATCATGAAATACTTACCCAAGCCTTCGGCAAAACTCACTTTGAAATTAACAGGAGTTTCTCTGAAGTTAATTTTGATTAAGGATTGTAAGATTTGGGCCACACAAATTATGAATTATACTCACCTGCTTACAACATTGTGCTCTAACAAAACTCCCCTTTTCTCAGGATTCAAAACCATGGCTTTTAAACCTGTTTAAAAAGAATTAAACATCAATTAAAGAGACTAGACCAGATCTTCTGCAGGTGTAAATTGACATATAGTGATAAACAGCAAACATGGGCTGAATCAGGAAATTATAACCTCAGGGGTGCAGCCTCAATGACAGTGCTGTATCTGAGGTAGTCATCAATAATCTCGCGTTTAACTAGGAAGACAAGTTGTGACCCTGCCCATACTGAAAGCCTTGTATATTTAGGCCCAGGATGGGGTAAATTCCGGACTCCTGTTGATAAGTCAAAAGCAGTCATGTTGCTTAGCTAAATAATGTTTCTAATTAACTTAAAATGGGAAAACGGTGGGGTTTTTTTCCCTGGCATTTTAAAATTTTATATATGACAGAAAATATGTCAGAAAGAGATGTAGCTAACAGGTTGCAGAGGATGAAGAACAATATGTATTTTGTATAATATAAATGTCCTCAGAAGGTCGATGAGACAATCAGATTGATCTATGTTTCTAAGCCATTTAATAAATAGATATAAAAGAGCAAATGTTTATTTTCATTATTTATAGTGTTGCAAATACACCCATCATTTATAAAACACTTTAGACACAGGGTCCCTGGTTCTAAAGAGTAAGCAATCTAATCTTAATACAAAACACAAAAGAATAATTCAACACAAGGTGGCACAGATATGTTGTTGGTGAGGCAATCAACCGAGTGAAAATCAGGGATTTAAGGAGGGATTTGAAGGAAGAGAGGGGTGTGCTTCATAGGCTGTTCCGATCATAAAAAGTATCAGGAATGAAAGCCTGGAGACAGGAATGGCAGGAGACAATGGGAGCAAAAAGGGGACTTTATACAGAAGTGCAGAAAAAGTGGCAGTATAAGATGAGATGCTGTGATAATTTGGGAATCTGTGTGTACAAACTTAGGAATTCTGGCTGATGGTATGAAGTGTTACTATGAAAACTGCATTTCTGTAGGTATCTTTACCAAGTGGCAAACTCCAGTTTGAAGATGCAGCCTTTTGCTTTCTCCATTGTCTGTTTGCTTCCATGTTGGGCTGAAATTCTAAGGTTGGGGGCAAAAGATTAGCAAAGGAGAATTGATGTTACATGGAATAGGAATAGCATCAAAATGGAATAGCTCTAAGAAGAGATTGGCTTCCAACCAGGTGAACTGGTTTAGCAGGGGAGAGGTTCCCTGAGCAATGCATTTACCTGGAACAAGTTTGTGATCACCTGTTGAAGTTGGCAAGGTAGAGGTCACCTGATAAAGGGGCTAAAAGTTGTAAAAAGGGAGATACTGAGCTGTCTGGGTTTTTAGCCATTATTTTCCAGCTCAAGAGGAGAAGCAGCCCAACATGTAAGGGCCTGCATGAGGCAGGAGCGTCTACCTGATTTCTGAGCCCACCTGGTTGCCCAAGGGATGAGTGAGCTAGTAAACAATATTATGTGAGACTCTGGGCAAAGTGTCTCTGTGTGTAATATGCTTCATACTTACCCCAGGCCTCCTGAGAGAGTTCAAAGGTAAACCAGAAGGCTACACCTTCGGGTGGGATTCTGGAAGAGGGTGCGTTTCAGCTGAACTCAGCAGTGAGCTTGGGGATTAGGCAGCTGGGTTCCACGTCTCAGGAGAAGATGGTAGATAAAGGGTCTGTGCTCTGAAATAAGCCTAGGGACCCCAAAGATTGGGGTAGTGGCTGGACTCCATTCAGGCTCTGGGAGGCTTAAAAGATCCAGGGACCTAACAGCTAGGTCCTTTCAAGCAATCTAGTCAGTGACCATGAGGGAGAACTTGAGTGGGATCTGTGACAGATACACACAAAGATATAAGCAAGCGGAGTGGAGCACAGCCTTGATGTTACCTTTCTCATCTTCTAAAGATTTGCACAAAAGAGCAGCATTTACCTTCTACTGTACTAAGGGTTTTAGTGATGGCAGCTTTTTCATGATCAGAGTCCATTCTTGTTATGATTAGTACCTGATGTAAGACAAGTAAAAGAAATTAACATTTTAATTTTTTTCTGTCTACACAACTTTTCCTGGAACAATACATGAAAGATAGTATTAATTTTTTGCTGTCTGCTGAATCTGTTTCCTAAAGGATAATTGTGCGCTTACTACTGAAAGATATTAGAAGAGTATTACTATGAAAGGAGATGCAGTGTCAGGAATAAAGATATTCTAGATAAAAAATCTCACACCTGAGTATTAACACACAAAAAGAAAATAAACTATTTAAAGGCAGTATATAAATTGCTGTCATGGAACTGAATTCCTACTGCAGCACCAGATAGACCATCATGGGGAGGAGATTTTTCAAGCCAATCCCATACTCCATTCACAGGTAAAACTCACACTGAAGGTATTTGGAGTTTTGCTTGTGCTACAACAATGTGCTGAATGGGCTTTTTAGGGACTCCTGAGAGCTCCTTGTTAAAATTATGGCACCTCCAAACTGAAGAGCTGTTTGGAAAGATTTCCATAACGGAGCTCACTAAATAACTTATGTGTGAGGCTCATTAAACACTGTTGATGACCAAAGTCTTTTACTTTCAAATGGATCAGATTGCAGCAAAGGGCAGGTATTTTTAAAAGATTCTCCCATGGGAGGAGATATTCAACCTTGTCTCCCAACCCAAATGAAACAAAGTGAACCATGTGCTATACGATCAATTTGCTCAGTATAATTTTCAGGAATAAGCTAAAAAAACTTGACAAGTACACAACCAGTGGAAACACTATACAGTCAGCTCTACACAGGATTATCCTAGTAGATTAATGCCATTTTACCGGCACTGTCTGGGTACACTTTATGGACCTGATGTTTAAGAGGTCGTCAACTGCCTCCATTTTTGTGGGCCCAATTCTGCAACCAAAATTAAATGTGGGAGCAAGTGGTAATATTTACAAGTCCAACTTCATGATTTATGGGTCCAATGAGGTAGTTGCATGTGTAAATGTTATAATTGTGCTAAATGCTGTCATAGCAGAAATAGTTTCTGAATATTTGTCCCTTTGGATAAAATTTTTAAAAATGGATGTTTAAAGTCAGGTGCTTAAAATAGTGGCCTGGTTTCCAAACCCTGCACATCTTCCACTGACTGTAATGGGAGCATCTAGATGTTCAATACTGTTGTTGCAGGTTACTTAAATTTGTATTTAGAGGACTAAATAAATGGCCTAATTCTGAAAAGCTGAGCACCCAATAGTTCCAATTAAAGTCAAGGGGCCTAACTCTGGGCACACATTTTTAAAAATTTTCATCTGTTTTCTTCCTAGTTTTCCAATGTTGTCTCGCTCATTACTACATCAATTGCTGACCTACATGTTGTACTAATATACTGCTGTTCCTGTGTAATCATGGATGCAAATGATGATGGAATAAGAATGGTAGAGTTCATAAGGTTTTTTTCTATGAGGTCCATCATATTCTATTTGTAACTTTTTGCTTATAAAGGAAATTTTCCATTATATCTTGCATCAATAGCAATTCACTAATATGATATAAAAGTATAACCAGATTATCATACTTCACATCATATTAGTGAATGCTAATATGATACAACAGCAAATGGCTTATGCAATAGAACTTATACATCTTATTAATTCAGGAATACTTCTTCTGTCTGTTCTGGGTCACTCTAAAAACTGCCTCTGAATGTAAGTGAACTAGAGTCTTTACAAGTTTAAATTCCACTCAAAATATTCTAAAATATTTTTTCACTATCTTTTTTGCCTTCCTACTTTTATTATGTATTATGCTGCTTATGCATTATGTAAATAAAATGATCGGGTGATAAACCTGATTTTTGCTTCTGTTTTTTGTGGGGGATTTAAATACAGGAATGATATCACCAAAAATATCCATACTGCCAGGAAGAATACATTTTGGATATTTATGTCCAATTCCTCTGTTTACTCCCCACAAACCTATCCCACAGTGATCCCCAGCTGTTTTATGGCCATTTGTAACTGGTGTAAATTAGAGTAGCCTGAAGGATGCTCTCACTTATGTCGGGTAATTGGCCTTCTGCACAGGTGACCAAGGAGCAGAGAAATGCAATGGCGGATTAAAACCAAAGTTGTACTTCAACCCACACCCTTGTGTGTTCTTTAGCCAGAGATTGGGATTGGGACTTTAGTGGCTAAAGTCATATTAAAAAGAAAAGGCGTACTTGTGGCACCTTAGAGACTAACAAATTTATTTGAGGATAAGCTTTCGTGAGCTACAGCTCAGCAGCCGATGAAGTGAGCTGTAGCTCACGAAAGCTTATGCTCAAATAAATTTGTTAGTCTCTGAGGTGCCACAAGTACGCCTTTTCTTTTTGTGGATACAGACTAACACAGCTGCTACTCTGAAATAAAGTCATATTGTAATTTTCAAAAATGATGCAACATAGCAAAGGAACAATGTGTGCTTAATTCAAGAGCAAAACCATTTGGGTTCATATGGGGTCCTTGTTTCCTATTTGTGCAACTGCTGTTTCAATACAATTGGATGACTGCTGTTTCAATACAACTGTATGTCCATATTTAATTGATGTATCTGTCCACAGGTAGATGTGCAGAGTGAGTAGCACCTTGGCTCTGCCCCCCACACCTCAAAGGTACCTGCCAGCCCAGCTGGGTTGGCATAGGAGAAATCTGTGCCTAGTAACAAGCTTGCGTAGATTACTTCACCCTTGGAGCAAGTGGGGAGCCAGCAGAGAATCCCAGGGCTATTCCTGAGATGGTGCAGCTTCACACCATCCTTTACTCATAAGTGTTCTCAAATGGAGAGTCAAATACAAAATTTCCTGTCATAAGCCAACTCTTGTTTAAGTAAGGTAGTTTTATAATTATTGCTCTAAAGTAGTTTTGATTGTTTAAAGAACTTGCTTAAATTGTTAACCTTATGATTCTGTTCATCTGTATTACTCTGCACCCACTTTAACATCTGATACTGAAGCTCTGTTATTTTGGGACTGATTTCATTCTTTTTCTGCCTGCTATACTGTACAATCTCCAGCTGCCTCCAAATATTATCCAAACAGGAACCTAAGACGCTTGTATAGATATCCTTTGCCTTGGACAAATACCCTGTTTAAAAACCAAAGCAAGGAACAATTACTTAAATTTGACATTCCAAAAACTGCACTGGCAAAAAGAGAAAGAAAATGGTAAAGATTTCTATTTGATCTGCACACACATTTTAGCTACATGTGAAGGCAACTCACAAAGGAAAGCTGAAAATTTAGCCAAAGACAGAAATATGTGCAGAATGCCCCCACTAACCAGACTTTGGAACCAGTTGTCATGTAAATAAATCTAAAATCGTAAGTAGCATACTGGAACCTGAGATACCAGAAAATTGAGCTGTTACACTTAACCAGCCGAGAAGCTACCAGCTAAATCAGGCTTTTTCTTATATGACACATTTTCCAAAGTTTAATCTTTTAATTATTTTTTTAAAAGTGCACTTACAAGATAAATGTGACATATCTGAGTCCCTACTAGTTGGCTCATATTATTTCAAATATTTCTGCTATCTGTAACATCCCTGTGATGCATACTGTGGATCAACAGTGAACCTAAAGCAGGCCAAGAAATGGAGAGTTATAAATATGTATGTATATATGACTAGTTTCCACTTATTTATGTGCTGAATGCTACCACAGCCTGACTGGTGGGGACATATAGTATTTCCGTGCTTGGCTCGATTTTCAAATTTCTTTTGCAGTTCACCTTCAAACATGCTGACGCCTCAGAGAACTCTTAGAAAAACATAATGGGTAGAGATAGTTCTGTTTACATATTCTATTTTCTGCATTCCTCTTCCCCATCATTTATTACTAGAGGCATTTCATTGAAGACATAATCGCTTTTTTAAGAGTTAATCTGATCCTGTTGTTATGTTGTTATGTTGATCCTTCTACATGAAGTCATAACTTTGTAGAGTGTAAATTTTTCATAATAGAGATCATAGATGCTCTAAATTCTGATAAACCTGTGTGTGAAATTACAATAGGTAGATGTGGAAATGAATGTGTGACAAATGGGATTATGACTTCAGGGGTGAAATTAGGAGCAGATGAACTGTTATGTCCTGATCCTTATCTGCATATTACTAAAAAATGGAATAATCTCTGAGGTTAAGGGCTATAGTTCGGCCTTTAGTCTTTGGTATAGCTTTACACAGGTCCAAATGTGTTAAATAATATTCCACATTTGTGCTTGGACCTGCCCCACTCTTCGTATCTTAGACTCAAAGGAGTCGATGGGAAACTAATTTCTTAGGTATAAATTATTACAAATGCACAGCATAATAAACAATGCACAAAATCTCAGAATGTCAGCAGGGAGTTGTCTGCCTATATATCCTTTTTATATGTTTGCCAGCTAACTTGAAGATTCACATGCAAAATTCAGTGTTCAGGGAGACTGAGCAAAATCCAGACATGATGTAAGTGGGTGCAACTCCCATGAAAGATTATTGGCCAAACTTTCCAATTGCACAAACCTGAACACCCTTGCCCTGTCCCTTCTCCGAGGCCCCGCCCCCACTTACTCCATGCCCCTCCCTCTGTTGCTCGCTCTCCCCCACCCTCACTCACTTTCACCAGGCTGGGGCAGGGGGTTGCAGTGTGGGAGGGGGTGAGGGGTGCGAGCTCAGGGAGAGAATTTGGGTGCAGGAGGGGGCTCAGGGCTGGGGTGTGGGAGGCAGTGAGGGGTGCTGGCTCCGGCCAGGTGGCACTTACCTCGGGAAGCTCCTGGAAGTGGCTGGCATGTCTGGCTCCTAGGCTCAGGGGCAGCTACGTGGCTCTGCGTGCTGCCCCTGCCTGCAGGCACTGCCCCTGCAGCTCCCATTGGCTGCGGTACCCAGCCAATGGGTGCTGTGGAGTCGGCGCTCGGAGCTGGGCACAGAGGCAGTGCGTGGAAACCCCTGGCCGCCCCTGTGCCTAGGAGCCGGACATGCCAGCCGCTTCCAGAAGCCACGCAGAGCCAGGGAAGTAGGGAGCCTGCCCTAGCCCTGCTGCATCGCCGACTGGACTTTTGACCTATTAAAATCTCCCGGATTGCTTTTAATAGTCACCAGGAGATTGAGGCCGATTTCGGTAGACTCCCGTCCAATCCAGGAGGGTTGGCAACCCTAAATGAGTATGTAGAAATAGGCAGGCAGACAGGGAGCAACTCTCAAGAAGCTGTAAGTTAAGGCGTGATAAGTGTTTAGTTACACCACACAATCAAAAATGACAAAATCTGAGAGAGGGATTGTAGAATTTCATGGTATATTAATTGTCATTCAGTGGCCTTTTGGATATTGCATTCCATGTTGCAATGACAATAAAGAGAGAAAACATTTTTATTGTTAAAACTAACCTAATGCTGTGTCCAAGCTACACATTAATAGGAGGTCTCGAACTGTTACCAACAGATGCACCAGAGCAGCATGTTTGAACAACATTATCTCTTTCTCACTATTTTTACCTATACAAAGGAAAAAAAGTTTTATATATGTATATATGGTTTGCATAGAAACATCAGAAGCTATACTGGATACATTAATTCATATAAAGGGTCCTGGCATCTCAGAACATTAGTCTCCCACAATGAAATATATATATAAATATAAACATGTCATTGCTGTGGATCTCAGCAAGGCAAACACTGACTGTACATGAAGGAAAGCAGAAATTTTGCCTACCTTTTCTTTCTTTGAGCTCTTCTATACTAGTCTAAGTTACTTGGGTTATGTATCCTCTCATACAGCAGATGGAGGCAGATTACTAAATCTTTTGATGACATCTTGCCTCTATATAGAAAGGTCTAACAATCTTTCTGCAACTGACTATTTCAGAGCAGTTCCCAAGAAATCAAATTGACTCCATCCTCTGATAATCAGTAAATAACTTTAATACAGTGATAACATGAACTTGAATTTTCCAAAGAAACTTTGCATTAAACTTTGAACTAGGGGTACTCAATTATTTTTTTGTCAAGGTCCAAATTTCTTGGTCAAGGTATAGTCAAGCTCCAGACTCCAGAAAAAAAAATAATGATAATAAGTAAACAAAAAGATTTCAGGGTTTGTTCAAAAGCATCTGGTGGTCTGGATTTGGCCTGCGGTCCACCTATTGCCTACCCTTGCCTTGAACCATAAAAAGACATTGTTTTTCACTGGAGATTATCTGGGCTAGTATATAATACTTTAAAGGAAGAAAATTAACAGAGAGGAAAAATGTCCTCTTTAGTCTTCTGTAGCTCACATAAAGCTACAGGAGGGATGAGGATTTGACAGTCACTTACCACACTCTCCTGTCAAAGACTGCCTCTATGGAAGCCTGTACATCTATCCTATAATGCTTGGCAAAGGTGTAAGCTGGTGCCCAGGTGTCTGTGTGCCTTACAAATCTCTATTAAAAACAGATTCCTCACTTTCTGTCCATAACAATCGTACTAAGTATGCCTTAAATGTTTCTGATAGCATCTTCCCTATAATAAAGTAAGTTTTCCTGCTTAGTACCTTAGTCCACTTTCAGGCAGTAGATTTGGAGTCTGGTTGTTTTCTAATTTGGCCCTTGGTTCAAAATAAATAGTCTCTGTGATCCATTGACCTCTGCGAGCCGCTCTATGTAAATTTGCAGAGACCTTTGAATGTCCTGGTAATGAAGTCTTCCTTCATTCAGATACTTTGGATTGGGGAAGATTGTGAATAAGGTAGAATCTGCTATGCAGAAAAAATGCCTGAGGAATCTTAGGCTTGAATTTAGACAGAGCTCTTGTGAAAAATCAAATACAGCTCTTTTCAAGAAAGCACATGCAGCTTTCCCACCATTCTAGCCAAACATACTTCTGTAAGTGCCCATTCCTTGGGCCCTGTCTGGGCCCAGTCACGACTGTTATTTCTCAGCCTTCCCCTCATGACAGGTTCTGGGCCTGGGCTCTCACAGCATCAGGCTCCCTTCTTAAAACTTGAAAGGGCACTCTGCCACTTGTTGCCTCTTCCGTGTGGGCAAGACGAGCTATTTCAGGGGCCAGTCTTGGGGCAGACTCTAGTTCTTTGGAGCAGATGGGGACTGCTGAATCTTCTCCAACTCTTCCCGCAAGAATAGCCTGTCTTTAAAGGGAAGGACCGGCAGCCTGGCCCTGAAGGATTGTTCCACTGCCCACTATTTTAGCCACAGGAAACTCTTTACTGACACAGATAAGGCCATGTTTCTAGCTGTCATGTGGATTGTAGCATATCATTGCAGACCAGTGAGAGAGCAAAGACCATAAGTGGGAGCACCATGGCTAGGTTGGACCATAGTATCTGATTTCCTGGGACCTGTTAAATTTCTGAAATCATCTGTCTTTCATAATATATAAACACTTTTGAATTAATCTTGAATTAAATTGAAGACTCTTAAGGATCCCTCACTCCTTCTGTTAGGATGATCCTGTAATGCTATACCTACTCATCTTGAGATTGTTGTCCTTTTTGTGATTCCCTTGATGGCAATATATTATCCTTGGGTTCTCCCTGACTTTCTGCATCCCACAAACTGAGAGATTAGTATTATAGCTTGCTTTTCTTGTACCAGTCTGCAGCCTCCCCATAAATGTTCCTTACTAACATTTTGTCACTATATTTTGGTTTTAAATTTAGAAAAACATATTAAGCACAAAAAGAAGTAAACTTTAGAAAACTGAAGTTTATCACATAAACTGTACTGTGAGATAATACAGAAACTAAAGATATATGTAGTTATCCATCAGAGCTAATTCGTAATCGCGGTGGATTAAGCCTCGAAAATCCATCTAAAATACAGAGCCCTAAAGCAGTTTATGGTTTCCTGAGAGGATGCTTGTATTCTTCTGGGGGTCATTTCATTTATACATGAATCTCCAGAGTTTACAGCCTAAGAATCCTTATTGAAGCACAGTGGGTATTTTTTCAAATCCCAGATCAGCCAAACCATGTGGTCCTGCCTTAGCCTACATAGTTTTAGTAACGTGAATGTTCATAGCTTATTTTGCCAGTTTAAAAAAAAGAAAATTTAAGGGATCTCTTTACTGCTACAGTGATGTGTACATTTACAAATGCCAGACAGGAGAATAAGTAGATTAGAATTAGAAAAAATTGCTTAGTCATTCGTCATTTAGGTCCCTTTGGCCACAGGGACTGTGACCCTAAGCACCCCTGTATTCACACTGTAATAATCTTTGTACGGAATATGCTTTGTGAGGTATCATTTGAAAACTAATAACTCACTGCTCATTAATATTTTTGTGCCATGTATGTACACAGTGTGTATTAAGAGTTATGCATCTATGCTGAAATTATGGCTGAAGTGCGTTTAAATGAGGCATGTCAGGCGGTGCTGATAAACAGGTCTGCCTGAGACAAATGAATGTGTTTGCTTCCCTGGCCAGCCCAGTCATCTGGCAAAGACAATGACGATCCATTTTTATGTATTAGGCAAACAAAGCTAACAAGTGGGGAGGAGACAGTATGGTGACTACACCCAGCGGGAGAGAGAAGCTTGGGTCTGGGTTTTACTTTTCAAAGAATACACTGCAAAGATTTAGGGACGATCTACACGACAAAACCACGACAACCTACAGATGAAGCTGGCCGCTGCAGCCCTGTGATGAAGATGCTTTAAGCTGATGGGAGAAAGTTCTCCCACTACCTCTGCCAGAAGCGGTAGCGATGTCTGATGGGAGAAGCTCTCCTACTGACATAGCGCTGTCTACACAGGGGGTTAAGGTTGGTATAACTATATCGCTCAGGGGTGTGGATTTTTCACCACCGAAGTAAGTGTGTAGTGTAGACCTATTGGTCTATCAAGATGAGGGGAGGGGGCTAAACTTCAAGTGATAAGCAATTGAATCAACTGAGGGCAAGTATACACTTAAAATGCTGCATGGGTGCAACTGCATCCATGCAGCTATGCTGAGGTAGCACTTTAATGAAGATGCTCTAAGCAGACAGGAGACAGCTGTCGCGTAGGCGTAATTAATCCACCTCCCCGAGGGGTGGTAGCTATGTCGGTGGGAGAAACTCTCCCGCAGACATAGTGCTGTGCACACAGTGGGTTAGGTCAGTATAACTACGTTGTTCAGGGTTGTGGATTTTTCACACCCCTGAGTGATAATAGTTATATCAATATAGGTCTGTAATGTAGACCAGATTGTATACAATATTACTGTATTATAGCAGGCTATTGCATGAGATCTTTTATTAATATCATTGTGAATTGTATGTATTAACACCTTATAAGGAATTATGAATACTTATTAATATTATACTGTACAGTCTATGACCCAAACAAGTATTCATAATTCCTTATGTTGTGTTAAGACATGCAACTAAATTTGTTATTTCTCTGAAATGTCCAGGAGAGGGCTGGACATTGCAGAACACAAGGTCTTGGGAAAATTTGGGACTGGAAGTGTGTTGGGGTCACCTTGCTGGTTGTAACCATGGCTGGTGGAAGCCAGAGTGGGGCTGTAAGGCTGTAGACAGACTGCTGGGGTCACAGTTTCTGAACCAGGGTTGGCTGTATAGGGTGCCTGCATGTTTGTTGCAGACTGTGAGTGTTCCAGACTGGGAGCTACTGTAGCAAAGTATTGTGAGGCACTCAGGGTTACTGGGTTAAGAGTTGATAACCGCTTCCTGGCTTGGAGTATACCATGAACTCCATGACACGGATATGACAAAAATAGCCACTGACCACAAAGAAAAGGACAACAAAAACATACTGGTGTTTTTCTCTGTAAATTACACATGTGGGAATGTCATTTAAACATTGCCTACAATGTATGATTAATCATGACCAACATTTCTGAAGCATGTGAAATTTAGATTTGGATTGGAATACTGTTTAGTATTCTGATATTCAAGTTATTAAAAATAACATGCCTAACTAGGACTGTATTAATGGAGACCTTTTGGAAACAAAAAAGCAGGTCTGTTACCATCAGCCCTTAAGATGGGAAATGCTTGAAAGTTTGTGAATAATTTGCCAGACTTATTGAACCACGTTACATATGAAATCAAATCAATTTTATAGACGAAAAATACAATGTATTTTACCTTGTTTAAAAATATCACAGATCACTTTCTCCTGCTGTTTTAAGAAAAATCTAGTGTGATCAAATTTAACTGTGGCAAACCTCCAATTCACTGCGGCAAGTATGCCAAGATGCATCAACTCTTTTAGAACAGGAGTGGCTGTTGCTTCTAACAGATGGTATGCCTGGCACTGGCTTTCTGGTTAATACAAACAAACATACACAAGATAACACAATTTGGTTAAATATGCCACTGTTGGATAAAAGTACTCAAGTGTCTTGTAAAACAAAAAAGCATTATTTTCTTCAAGAGATCTGCAACATGAACTTCATTCTCTTCACATTAGTAATTCTAAATAACTTCTGGATGGCTGTTTAGTAACCCCTTGTAAGGGAAGGCCTACACTTAAAACTCTCCAGTGATGCATCTGTGCCACTGTAGCACTTAAATGAAGATGCTCTAAGCCGACAGGAGACCACTCTCCCATCTGTGCAATTAATCCACCTCCCTGAGAGGCGGTAGCGATGTCTGACGGGAGAAGCTCTCCCGCTGACATAGCACTGTCTACACCGGGGGTTAGGTTGGTATAACTGTTGTGAAAGTGACCACTCTCTTTACAATGGGTATGATAATCAAGGTGGGATAAGCTATTACCAGCAGGAGAGTGAGTTTGTGTGTGTGTGTTTTGGGGGGGGGTGTGAGAAAACCTGGATTTGTGCTGGAAATGGCCCACCTTGATTTTCATACACATTGTAAGGAGAGTGGTCACTTTGGATAAGCTATTACCAGCAGGAGAGTGAGTTTGTGTGTGTGTTTTTTTGAAAAAAAAAAAAAAAAAGTGGGGGGGGGGTGAGAAAACCTGGATTTGTGCTGGAAATGGCCCACCTTGATTATCATACACATTGTAAAGAGAGTGGTCACTTTGGATGGGCTATTACCAGCAGGAGAGTGAGTTTGTGTGTAGGGGGGCGGAGGGTGAGAAAACCTGGATTTGTGCTGGAAATGGCCCAACTTGATTATCATACACATTGTAAGGAGAGTGATCACTTTAGATAAGCTATTACCAGCAGGAGAGTGGGCTGGGAGGAGGTATTGTTTCATGGTCTCTGTGTATATAACGTCTTCTGCAGTTTCCACAGTATGCATCCGGTGAAGTGAGCTGTAGCTCACGAAAGCTTATGCTCAAATAAATTGGTTAGTCTCTAAGGTGCCACAAGTACTCCTTTTCTTTTTGCGAATACAGACTAACACGGCTGTTACTCTGAAACCTATAGTTATACTGATGTAAGTCTGGAGTAGACCAGACTGAAGGCTCTTTCTACATGTAAAAGTTAAGTCAACATAGCTATGTCAGTGTAAAAAATCCACCCCTTGACCAATGTAGCTATATCAACTCCACTGCCAGGGTAGATGCAGCTATATTGATGAAAGAATACGTTGGTCAATGTAGATACCATCATCTGGGGGCGGCAGTATTCCTATCTGAATAGAAAAAACCCTTTTGTTGGGTACTCACCCACAAAAGCTTATGCTCCAATACGTCTGTTAGTCTATAGTTAGTGCCACAGGACTCTTTGCCCCTTTTGTTGGTGTAGGCTGTATCTACATTACATGGCTGCGGTGGCATAGCTGTGCCAGCACAATCTCCATAACGTAGACGTACCTTCAGATATAACTGAGTTTTCATGACATCCAAGTAGGTGACAGCAACACAATAGTCTGAAGAACTCAAATAAACTGCTGATATTGAATTAACTGGAAGGCTTTCTCAATGGGATACCTAAATCTCTTGAGTATCAATTTTTTCTTTTATGTGCTTAACATTATAGTTGAGTTAATCGCATCATCAAGGTTAAAACTCTATTATCTCCCATGTTCAAGGGTTTATCATTTCATTTTTAAAATATCTCAAGCTGACAGGTAAGGTTGCCAGGCTGGGCAGCATTTCAGTTGCAGGTCTCACTACATTTGGTCATTTATGCCCTCATAATTATTAACTAATTAGTTAATATTTGTAAAGTACTTTGAAGATGTGGACCACTATGTAAGTGCTCATTCTCATCATCTCCAGTTCTTCATGCTTTGTCAGGATAGATCAGATGCTATACTGTTTTTGCTACTTGATGTAATTTCATTCATTCATTCATTCATTCATTATTTTCTTTTTTAAGGGCTTAATATTTCCAGTAAGGTATCATAATGTATTGTTAATATTTCATTGTTGTTAAAATGTTTGTGTTTGTCTTTAAGTTCTCAATATTGGATATAGCTTATATCTGACTGAGAAACTCTTTTAATTCTTTCACGTATGATGCTACCATGGTGAAATATAGGAATTGTTATACAACAGTCTGCATGAGCATAAAGGTTCCCATATTGAATTTTTGCAGGATAAGAGCCGTAGAGAGCAGTGAATAAAATGGATATTGGTTTTGTATATATGGATATTATTTAATGTAAAATTACAATATTACAAAAAAATAAACAGACCATTCAAAACAAAATTCTATACCTGATGCTTGAATTTTGACTGAGATGCTGCCTTGATTCTCCTGTTCTGTTTTCTCTGTCAATGTAGCCTTACAAACAGCAGAACTGTCTTGCTTAAGAACTTCTGGACATTCTTTAATTTCCAGTGCTAAAACATTGGACGTAGATTATGTAAAATTATCACAAAACAAATCCACAGAATAAGTAAATTCTCTAACACGTTCCTCCACTTGTTAATTAAACATTTCAAATTCAGGAGGCTCCTGTGCCACAGACCAATAATTGTATATTTTACTTTGGAAAAAGAAAGTGAAAATAATTTTCTTTATTTCCTCCAAGTTCCCACACTTCCTCGCTGCAGCCACATGATACATTGGTCAGATTATGTTTGCCAAAAAGTGGGTGCTGTCAGGTCTGAATGGAATCAGACACCTCCCCTATCCATACCCTATCCATATCCTGGCAAAGTTGAGAAACTGCTCGAAGCTGCTTCTATAGCCTATTGTTTGTATAAAGGAAGATTCCTACATGAGCACTAAGGCAGGGAAACTGCCGAGTGGAAGAGCATCTGAGAGCAGGAATTCAACTGGACAGGAAAGATCAGGAACACTGGAAATAGGGTAAGTAGGAGAAGGGCTGGAAACAGTTTACTTAAAAGAGGTCGTTCTCACTCCCTTCATCTTTACTTGTAGCTGCACCTCAGCATCGATCCCTTCTGTGTTTTTTTTTCTCTTTCTCCAATACAAATAAGAAGTCACAAGCTATCCTAAGGGTCCCCCAATATCTCTGTTCCCCTCTTCCTGGCAAAAGAGGAAGCAAGTGGCAGATTTGGAGCTAGCAGCCCCCACTTCTTGGCAAACTGGATCGATCCCTATCTCATATGGCTGCAGCTGTGAATATGAGACACTTGGGCAAAATAAAGAGGGAAAAGTAAAAAACTTTCCATCCCGCAAAGTTAAAAGCCAAAGTTCATATTCTACTGTCAAGGAGCCTACTGAATGAGAAAAGTTTATTAGGGTTCAAAATTATGCTAACCAATTACTTCTACTAGTTCTCTCCTAAATACTAATTGGGTTAAATAGTACATATAACTGGTGTCTATAAAAATAACCCACAACAGCACTTGTAATTTATTGGGAGACAGTAGGCCTTCCGCTAAAATTGGAACCATACTTTCGAAGGAATTGACATAAAATCTACATATGTTTGGATAGGCTAAACATTTATCAATCATTACTAACATACAACACTTGAGGATCACTGTCTACATTTACTTGTTTACACTATACTGAACTAAGCCTCTATCCATAGTACTACTCAGAGATGCAGTTCTAGTTAGAGTTCACTAGATGGTAACATAAGACCTTAGTTCATGTGTCCTGAGTTTGTACTTTTAGAACTGGGGTTATCAATTTCTCAAGATCTGCATATGTATCAACATAAAACAATAATAAATGGTTTTATTTTTAAAATTTTATTAAAATGTCTTGCATATTGTTTTTTTAATTATGTAAGGATACAATTAAAATCCATATTAATCTGTTACACAGCACCACTTCATGCTATTATAATTAGTGCTGCAACAGTGTTTATGTTACAAACTTATTTTCCAAGGGATATATAACTCAAGCATAATCTGTGTTGAAGCTCTGCTAACCAGGGTCTGGTCCTGCAGTATTTTATTTTTTAGTGTGATTCTACTCTGAAAAGCAACTGACCTAACATTTCATTGTCTCTCAATGACTTCTGTAGCAAAGGTGGTCAATTTATAAGTAAAAGTTTTTTCTAAGTGCCAGTCCTGCATACTCAGTCTATGAGCTAAGTTTTCTTTTCGCAGATCATCAGCAGTGATAACAGATCTTCAAACCATATTCTGTCTTCACAGACAACTGTTCAGCCTCATTGCATCACTGGGTTTGCACAGGTGTAACTAATTGGAATAGTTCTGCTGGGATAAGAAGAAACAGAATATAGCTCCCTCTTAACTGCAGGACTAACAAGAGTAGTAAGCAACAGAAACTTACTTTTGTCACAAAAATCACCAGACTTGACTCAGAACATGTCAGGGGGAGCAGACAGTCTGAGTAAGAGGATACCATTTTCTTTTCAGAGTGGAACCAAACTTTAATGCACACTGTCTAAAAAAACAACTAAAAAGAAAAATACAAAATAAGTACCATGAATGAAATACTGGATCCACTGAAGTCAATGGGACCAGGATTTCATCCCATGTAATTAATTCTATTGACTTGAATGGAGTTATACTTGATTTACAGCAGTGTAAGAGAGCAGAATTAGACCTAAAATTACAGGACAGAATGGTTCACCTACCCTCTTTCTGCCTATCCAAATTAATTTTTTCCTCATTTTGGATGAACACGTGTTTAGATCTTAGCATGATAAAACTGTTCAGAAGGTCAGAATCATCGTCACATTGTCTAGACTGTTTGAATGGTAGAGTCTTCTGGCTTTTTGTTGAGCTGTTTGGTTCAAAAGATCCTTCTTTACAGTTAAGTGAGTCAGACAAATCTTTTCTTTTCTTTTCTTGATATAAGAAATGCATTGGTCCTTCTGTCTCACTGTGCTGATTTTCCTGTCTTGTTAGCCATTCAACAGATGTATTTGCATCACATATGTTGACATGAGGTGCAGCTCCCAAATGTAATGGAGGGAATGGGCTCTTCTTTTCAGGTGAGAAATGAGAATTTGTTGTTTTGTCCCAGTGATATGCACTGACAGAAAGCAGTCCTTGATTAGTAAGGGAACTCTTCTCTTCAAGCCACCCTAAAAGATAAAATTAGTTTTCTCCATTGCAATTTTGATTACTCCTAATAGAATCTACTGTTCTGGATAGAATATATAACCCAAGAATGTTCTTGTCCAATCCAATTGAATAGAACTCTGCAGAGTTCTTTTCTGATTTTTTTCTTCTTCCTTACTTAGGTTGTTAGAATCCACTGCTGGCATGTTTGAACTGATATGTTATTCCCACATAAGAAATTCCAAAGTTGAGAAAACAGAAAGCTCCAAAGCCGTTATATCAACTCCGAAGTGAAGCTATACACAATTAACTTATAGATGGTGATAGATTTAATGCAACCTAGCATGATGGTTCTATCACCAATGCAGTCTGCCGTAGTGTCACTGACATTTTGAGAACTTGTTTGACTTTCCCTTTCAACCTTACATGAAAGAACGTAAAAGACGAGCCTGTGACAAGCTCAGAAATTAATAAAACACTAAATAAGCACAAGATGAGTCTGCCCAGAGCAGTGGCTCCATATTAGAGGAAATCAAAGTTAAAGGTAAGAAAACTCTTACTTTTTACCTATGCTGGATCCACTGCTCTGGACAAAAACCATAACTCATGGAAAGCAAGCAGGGACCATAATCCTCTTCACCAAGTAAGGAAGGTAATAAAATAGCAAACAAATGAAAAACAGGTCACTAAAACGAAAGATCAGAGGTACCTGTGGATAAAGAATAAGGAGTGAGGGTGGGATTCACAAAGATACTTAGAAATCCAAGTCTCATTTTTAGGCACCACTGCGATCAAGAAAACTCCCACTAGGCCACAACCTAACTTTGTACGTGCCCAAACTCACTAGGTGCTTTAATTAAACAATTCAATACTTAAATACTATTTGGCTAGAGAAACAGTTACTGACTCTATAGCCTAGTGGTTAGGACAATCACCTGAGAGGTGGCAGAAGGAAGGGGGACTTAAACTGGGGCTGTCCCACATCCTATCCACTTGGCTAAAGATTGTAAGGGAGGTCCTGCTCCTCCTCTTCCATTTTGTTTCAGGTCCTGCATGCATCTTGGGTGGCTGAATGCCTATTTTCCTCCAGTTCGTGGCTTGCTAGCACAGTTAGGTGCCTCCATGAAGCCTAGATTTAAGAGCCTATCTCTGAGAGAGGGGCAGGGCTTAGCGCATACCTCTCTGCTCAGTATCTCCCACTGGCTAGCTTAGGTGGCTCCTTGCCTTGTGTGCTGGCTTAGTGGACTGCAATCTATGGTGCCTCTCTCTCCTAATTAATTGTATAGGGACCGTAGGCACCTAACTCAGGCTTTAGGGATTGTAGTGTTCTTGTGACTTTTCTAGGATCCTGCTCCACAAAGGTGTTTAGGTTCCTAACTTCCACTGATTTGGTATTAGCATTAGAACTATGCTCTATTAGAGGACTTTCCCCTCTCACTTACGTTCTCTTCTCCTAATATTTTCCTATTTTCTTCTGTTACTGATCCTTTACTAATCCTTTGATTACTGCAAAAAGGATGGACCAGAGACACTTGTAGGCTGATGGTATGAACTGCTAGACCACTTTGTTGCACTATTTATGGGCCTACCAGCAGTGTTCCTCAAAAGGTGGCACACTGGGCTAGGTTGAACTTCTGTGCACACAGAAGGACCCTGGTGGAGAGAACCAGGCTTAACTTATCAGGTTTGAGTGAGAGGGAACAACTGATGGATTGGTGAGGGAAATGGTGCTCAACCTGGGTCCCCAATCCTGCAGTCTCCTGAGCAGACTGGTAGTAGAGTTGGGCTTGCAAAGGATGTTAAACCTCTCTCCTGGGGACCAAAGAAGCTAGAAACTGTGAGTAGTGGAGAGGATCCAGAAAACCATTTCCTGCTCTTGTAAAGAGGATGAGGAAAATTGTGAAATGGGATCAGCACCGATGATGAGGGTCCCTTGGGGCTACAGGACCATAGAAACCAGTTACTGTAACTCATGACGCCTTCTTAGCCTCTGCTACAGACTGTATTTCCATGCTAGAAGGCTCCGCAAGGTGCAGTAGTCTGCCTATGCCTTGCTAAAAAGTTCTGCAGCTCTGGATTAATAAGGACCCAGATCACTGCTGCTGTCAATGGGTGGAAGGAGTGGGCTCTTCCAAGTCCGACTGTAAGATGCTCTCACCAATGTTGGCAAGGAGGTGCTGGGAAGAGTGCGGAGCAAGAGGAATCCCTTCCCAATAGTTCTTCCTTTATGAGTGAATGATTTAGTAGGAAGGAGATGGGGCAGTTCAAACTTGAATCTATTCTCCAAAAAGAGCTCCAGCTGGTGGGAGGAGACAGCAAGGTGGGTGCTACTAAGCTGCTTCTTCACATGATGCTAGACAGGGGAAGCCAGTGGAAGTAGTTCTTTAGTCTACCCAAAGCTGCTGTTGTAACAGGAGCATTCGGTAAAACTGCTGCTAAAGGAATCCTCAGCAAGCTCCACGCTTCATATAAGAGAATCTTTGCTTCAAGATGTTGGCCATTTCAAGAAGCCAAACAGAGACTAAAGAACCCAGGCTTATAGAGAGAGCAGAAAAGGAACGGCTGCTGTTCCAGCAGAGGTACAGAAATACTGGGGATAACATGGTCAGTTCAGCACACACATAAACTAGGGAACTATCAACCTAAGGGAAAAAAAATTCCTGTGAGATACCTGACCCCCCATTTCCTATCAACTGTATTGGGCAACAATACACATAAGCTATGACTTTTGCATAGAACAGTGAGTGCTGTGTAGGAGAACACAAGAATGATCTAGAATGGATTCTATTGTACCTGTTACATGTTCTAGTTGAAGGGACATTATAAGGTTATGAATGCATGAGAAATATAATATACTGTACTAACTATTCAGTACAAGCATATGACAGCTTCATGATAAAAATCCCCATAATGATAAACTGTGTGTGAAATAGCAAGGAATTTGACTATGAATGTGGGTAACTGTGCTTAATGCAAGCGTTTGTAATATAAGAAAATAAAAAGGATGTGATTTGATGCATTTTAGAGCTGCAATTTCCCAAAATCCTAACCCTTTGTATTACTTCTGTATATTCATGTTAACAATACTGTAGCTAAATGCACTGCAATATGTTCGGTCTCTACAGAGCTGCCACAGCTAGGTGGTAGTGTTCTTCCATGTGAGTTGCACGCAAATAGCCTTACAAATCTGCATAGTGAATGAATCCATGCATAATATTGTATACTGATGAATCTTCACTATAATAGAAGCTGAGTTAACTAAAACAGGTCCCGTGCCACTGGCCTATCCTAGAAGAAGCTGGAACCATATAAGAGTCTGCTACATCAACATATTCTCTATTATGGTGATATTAATTAATAATAGTAATTAATAATACTTTGAAATTATTATATCCCTTTCAAAAGTTCTCCTGCCAGGTATTTCATTAGAAACATTAAGGGCCTGAAGTGGCTAATTTGTGCTTGCAACTACCATAATTCCCATATGCAATCATGGTAACCACAAATTAAATATGCAAGTGCACACATACTTTTATCCACGCAACTGACAATCTTAGCTTTTTGTAAATCAGAGTTTAGAGTAATAGTGCTGACTAATTTATGCTTTTCCGAGTTCTTTTCTTTTTGAGAATGAGAATTTTTCTGATTCCTTTCTTAGTTGGTGCTATGCTAGTATCCATCACTGAACTGCATGACGGATCTTCTGTTAAAAAAGATCTCCTTGCCATTCTTGTCGTTGAACTTTTCTATCAAAAACAAATATACTTACTTTCTAACTGAAATTGTGTAATTTGTGAGAATACTTCCTCTTCAGTAGAAAACAGGCTATTTGCACTACCCAAATCAGTGCTTAGTTGCTCCAAAGAATCTGGTAATACCAGATTTAGTCCTGAATGAATCCACCAGTCTGATTTTAATGGGCTAAACACTGGAGCTTCCACATGGACAGACATAATCTTTTTCAGTTCTGTAACTGTATGATGTTGAAATGTAGGTTCAACAGTCTGATTCTCTATAAAAAACAAGACAAAAACTAGTATTAATGGACTAGAAACATGAGAGAAGAACATTTTTGACAGTAAAATCACAAAAAAATATTCATGACTTATGTATATCCCTTGGTATATCTTTCCATAACTAATTCAGTATCAGCACTTGCCTGAACAGCAAAGAAAGAAATATTTACATAGCTTAGTAAGATGTAAATTTTTTCACCTTGTTTTTTGTGTTCAATTCCCCAGCTGTAATTATATTTCTAGTCTGTTGATATAAACCTGCATTACCTGGATTACAAATGATTCGAGATTTATTCATTATCTATGAGTTTACCTTCCATGCTTGCAAGCATCTATTATAATGATTATCTGAAAACTCTAAATAGTAAATAGACTATTTTACAAATGAGGATGTAACTCACTTATCTCACAGAAGTCTTTTGGTGTTGTTTCTTAACACTAACTGTTGGGGTCAGAAATAATTTATGACTTAGTTGTTTTTGGTTCCATATTCCACTTCCTAATGTGTGCGTTTGGCATTGGAAACTTATCACTTAGTTCTCCATGAATATGATTCCACTAAGGAATTTATTAGTATGGATTTTTAAAAATTATTTGAAGATAAGAACATACTCTATAATGAAAATTAATATTTCAACAGAGCTTGTTTAAAGTTAGGTTTTGTTACTGAGTTTTAGAAATTACTATACCCATTAAAATAATTATCAGGAGGTGAACTGAAGATTTTCAAACTGGGGGAAAGCTGTCATTATATACAAACTACCACTGTGGAAAGACAAACTAGTTATCTGCCTTACAAGAAGATTTATATAGAGGAAAAAATCAAACATCCCACCTTAGATGAACTGGGATATATTTTTAGTGTGCAAACAGGAGCAGTATTCGCACGTTCCTTGCATTCTACATTCATTTTATCAACATTGAAAATGTATCATCAAATATCTGCATTGTATTTCTTCAAGCACTTCCCAGATTAATTTCTATGTTGCTGTAATATTTCACATACAGCTCTTCTATATCAGTTCAATATATCGGAATTCATACTTCCTTACCTTCAAGCAAAAGAGAGTTCACAGCATTTTGGTATTTTTCTGACTGCCACACCAGGCACTCTAAGTTCTTCTTAATTGACTCTGTAAGCAGAATACTAAAACAAAGAAACAGAAAATGAGACACGTGGTAAGAAGCTTAAATCATAGCTTTAGATTTTCAAACCAACTTTCTTCTGGTAATACATTTAGAGAAAGTAATTTTGCAAAAGTATTTACTTTCTCTCCAATCTTCTACTTTCTCTTATTGACTCATTTGGGAAAATCTTTCCTCCTCATCTGTGGGTGCAGTGGGCTTTCTGGCTGCAGGACCAATGTGGTTCCACTCCTCAAAGAGGGGAAAAGATTAGGGGTATATATACCCTTTGAATGGCCTGGAGGCAAGCAAGGGGAAGCTAGTGGTAGGGAGGGAGACTAGAGGTCCCCTGTCAAGAGGATGCTTTAGTCCTTCCATGTCTGTGGAGGGAGGATATTAAGATTGTGAAGGGTACTCACTCTAGCAAATATAATAGAGAAGCAGCCATGGAACAGCCCTGCTGATACTTCTGTCGCCACATGGATATCCCCAGCACTCGGCCAATGTACTCACTGCGTGCTTCTCTGCTGAGGACTTTGGAGGATTCACTGCCATGGAGGTATGAGTCCTCACCTTCCCCAAGGAGGAAGCTGGATCTTCAGGATATTAAGCCTCCTTACAGGAGGACAGCCTTAAAGCAATTCTCTTGGTCTTTTCAAGCTCCATGCACTGAGACCATGCACAGGGTGTATTCCCTGGAGTAATGTTTCTCTCCAAGGCAAAGTACACAATGGACAAAACCATCGGCAATGAACATCTCACAGAATGAGGCCATAAATTAACAGAATCCAATGAAACTAGTTTTGCACTAATTTGGAGGAGGTTGTACCAGTTGTAGCCTCATTAAACTTTTACTTACCTGTTACCAACAGGAGAAATAGGTTCTGCCTGAAGTCCTGCATGAAGTGAATTCACATGTGATCTTTGTGGTTTGCATGGCGGAGTTAGCGGTATTTCTACTTCATATTGAGGATATAAAGTGTAACTAACTGGGAATTGCAGAAAAATGACACCACATTTCACAAAAAAGTGAAAGAAATGTAAATATTTATGTATAACTGACACCAGTTACATTTTGTGTTTCAAATTTATTATGACGATTTTATGTTTTATCACTTGAGCAATAAAGACCAAATTGTGGTACTTTAATATCTAGACAACAGGGGTAATAGTAATGCATAAGTCACACTTTTTTACTGCTTTTCTATGTGATTCTGGGAATCTCTGCACATCTAGCCAACCATTCAGAATTTAAAATCACCAGCTATTATTTTGGGGCATTTTTTAAAATTAAATGTTGATCAGCTGTGGCCCAGTTATGTAGCTCTTACATAGATGGAATGGCTCTTTCAAATTATATTTGTGATGGTTCTAATATCAATACGAAACCAGCAAGTCTGCAACTCAGATACCTCAAACTCTGAGGGAGTCAATTATTGTTTCATATGCAAATAAAATTCAGTGCTACTTACAGTCCTAGTCTTGTAAATGCTTGTCACAGAAGACGACCACTGAAATCAATTCCATTTCAATTGATGTTCCATATGCAGAGCACTTGCAAGATTAGACCGTATATTTTTAACCAGCTATGCAAACAAGATTGCGGAGTCAAAGCAATCTCTTGTAGGTCACATTTACTGCCCTATTTTTTACAGTAAAATGAATTTCAGACATGCTTACTGATTTTTCTAGCTTACAAGGAACTTGTTTCTTTGGTTGTTTTTTTTCTTTATTTTTTTAACTGTAATTTTTTTTACTAAGCTAAAAGCTAGTTACAAACAAAGCTAGCCAAGTGCAAGCGGTAAGGATGTTCCATGCAGGTCTGTCTTGCAGTCACAGGTGGTAAAAACCTGAAGAACGACTGGCCTTACTCTGCCCTTTATGTTCTCAGGAGGGGTGAGAGGCTAGGGTGCGAGCTCACTCTGGGCACAAGTGCATCCCACCTGACATCTCTGGCCATAGATTCTGATCTCAGATGCACAGGATATGTGTGCATCAAATAATGGAACACATATGGATAATCAAAGAATAACAGTTCTTAAAAACTGCCACTGGATTTGCTTATATAGCACTTCCTACCTGCCTCACTGCATTCCAGTGGATTTCTGTTTTGATTGAAACAAACCTCTTCCATTGTGGGACAGTATTTTGAAATTTCTATTTCGTTTGTAATATTTGCAGTAAGATCTGAAAAGAGATAAAAAGGTGCCACAAATGATAACCATTTTATTTCCTTTTTTCCCTCAAAGCTGTTTCTTACACAATGTTTTGTTTCTGTATTTATTCATCCCCCGTTATCATTTTGAATTCATCAATACAAAGTACTGCAGTTACCATCAGTTACCATGCAAACAGCAGAAGGTGTTCATAAGACCATAACAATTGCCATATGTGATCAGGCCAGTGGTCCATCTAGTCCAATATCCTGTCTCTCACAGTGATTAGTACCAGCTGCTTCAGAAGAAGATGCAAGAAACCCTGTATTAGCTAGATGTGAAATAATCTGTCCTTAGGGAAAGTTTCCTCCTAACTTATGGAACACCACTCCCATGGGTGGCTTGTCAGCAGCTGGGATCAAACAGACGACTTCTGGACCTAAATACATGAGCCTCTACTGCCTGAGCTAAAAAAACCCCTTTTTTAATTCTCTCATTTGCCAAAATGAATAAATAGTCATTTTTTTCTGGCCAAATTGAGACCTCGGCCACAGTCTCCACGGCTGCACAGGTAAGTTACTGATTACAAGCACAGATTTAAAAACTGAGCAGTGTCACTGAAAATGTAACACTAATCCTGCAAAGCCAGAGCGTTTCTGATGTTTCCAAAACTCTTCTTTTTTAATATTTACTATTTGACTTTGAATATTCTTGTTATCCATATAAATATCTAATCCTTTTTGGAAACTTGCTAAGATCTTGGCCTAAATTATACCCCATGACAATAAGTATCACAGGTTAACTGTATTTTGTGTGAAAAATGATTTATTTTATCAGCTTTGTATGTCACTTTTCAATTTCACTGAATGTCCATTTGTTCTTTTATTTAGAGAAAAAAGCTAATGCTTTAAAATTCTAGACAGATGTTGTTGATTCCTGGTAAAGGGCTTCTTTGAGAGAGAGAGAGAGAGAGAGAGAGAGTGAGAGTTCCCTCCCTGTCCTGCCCTAGCTTCCCAGGGCTGAAAATAGCTGTACTGACCTACCAAATCACAGCAGATACATATCATCCCATCCAGGGATGTATGAAAAGCTGCTCTGCTTTGGATACAAGAGGAAGGATATAAGATGTGCAGTGGGAATCCTGGGAAATAGCAGGTTCATGAAAGAGTTTACCCTGGTCTGTGTTTAAATTGTTAATCATGTTATTCAGTTCATGGAAACATTTGATAGACATATGGGAAGAATATTGGACGTTGGCAGGGTTGTAGTGTTTTTTCTGAGCCACTAGAAGCCTCAGAAACACAAACATTGCGGAAGGGTATTTTACTAATTTTTGTTTTTTGCTTAGATGTGTTCTGATGCTCATCTCAGGCTTTCCATAATGTTTTGAAGGAGAACTCTAATATGCATACTAAGTCATAATAACAATACTTAGCACTCATGAAGTGTATAAGAATTGAGATTACATTTTAACATGCATTGACAACAGTTTGCTATATACATTTGTACTGTGAAAGTGCTGCCATCACTATTTATTATTTTGTTTCCCTGGTCTAATGCTTTAGATATTGATTTTTCTTTTACTCGTTTGTATGTACAATTGTAAAAATTACAATTAGTTTACAAACATAGAAAATCCAATGTTTATAGTAATAACATAGTTTATTTGTGTTTGGTAGATTCTACAATGCACTATTACATACAAAAAATTGCATTAAAAGAATGTTGTTTAGATTGCAAGTCAAGGACTGAAAAGTTAGGAAATTCCAGATTTATGGTTACTTGTACAACTATAATTCTATCCCTTTGTGAATCAACCCTGTGCACTGAATAAGGCAGTGATTCTGTGGGAATAAAACAGCATGAGATTACGTAATTTGACAGTACTTGTACTATAATACATACACAAAATTAAATTGCACAGGTAACCTTAATTTTGGTATTTCCTAACTTTCAAGTTCTTGACTTTGCAACCTTAATAACTTTCTTTAAATGTCGTATTTATATTAGTTTTTAACTTCACGCAGTTCTTTTTCATTTTTGTGGGTTATTTCTTAGAGTTATTTTTTAAAGGAAAAAGATGAAAAAATAATTCTATTACGTACAACTGAGGCATCCCCATGTCACGAGCAGGGTTTGACTCCTGGACCTTCAGCACTGTAACACAAGCTACTACCACTGGAGCTGAAGGACTAAGGCCTAACTAGGTTAATTGGCAGCAGGAGAAAGCTGTTAACCAAGAAAGTGATGGACCACTGGGTTTTGTGGGTAGTGGTAGGGGGAACCCAGCTGGCTCTTTCTCTCCATGGTATGAGATTAGGATGCCTGAACCCATATGGTATTCTTGGAAGATGGGGAGAAAATGGATCACTGGTCAAGTGCTGGGGGTTGCTCTGGGAGAAGCTGGCCTAGCTCTCTTTCCTGCCAATCAAGAGGTGGTGGGTTTCTGCCCCATGCGACACATACAGCTCTGGGGTCATGGACCAGGTCTAGAGGGATATGGAGCCCAGCCCATCTCTTACTTCCACTCCATCGCTACAGTTGCTTTGGTACTCACAGTACAGTATCATCTGCCACTGCTACTTTGGCAGCCTACAGAATATTTGTATTTTTAGTGAGTATTTGGCAGGGTGCCAAAAATTTCCTGAGGAACAAAAGAGAACAAAATAAGGATTTTTAAAAGTTTAATAGAAAAATGCAAATGGCGTTTCATGGGATAAAGAAAAGGCACTTCAGCAGGGGAATAACTCTCAGGCTACTGAATATCAAAGGTCTGCTGCTAACAATGGAGGTGGGAGAACTTCTCAAAGAAAAGGTCATAAGAATATTCTGAAATAGAGATGGTAGCCAAAGTAAATACAGAGGCTGTTACCAGCTCCCCCTGTGATGTTGTGGACAACTTATATGGAGTGACTGTACTGCATGAATTATCGGAAACTACTCTGGGATGTCTAAAAAATTCATCTTAGCTTGGTTAACCTATTCAGTTATTGTCATTAGATTCACTCTTCCACCTCAATAACAATATCTCCTTCTGAAATAACACGGGCCTGAATTGAGGTGTACAGTATGTAAGAGATCACTTCCTTCTGGCTGCTTACAGGAAACTTTAATACTTTGAAATTTGACATGCCAAACTTGTTCCATAATTTCATACAAATAATGGGCCTCATTCTCATCTGATTTATACTAGTCTGAATCAGTAGTAATTGAAGTGAAGATAATGGAGTTAAAAAGATAATGGTGAGAAATCTGTGCAAATGAGAGGAGAATTGGGCCCAACGTATCAAGAAAATAATTCTCACCTTTGATTTGCTTTTCACTCCTGCTTTCATCTGCTATAATTTCTGGTGCTAATTTTAACAACTCTTTCAGTTCCAAGCACGATGGAATCTCAACTTTCTGTCTGAAGTTTGTTGTCTTCTTGGATTCTAATTCAACAGGCAGCATTAATGACTGAAAAAATAATAAATACAGTATACTGAGATAGGTAAGGTATAAATTTGTGCTTTTTTGCTTTTACTATTTAATTTTGATTTTTTTAGTTTTAAATAGTTTGCAGAAATTTAGACTAAGACTGTCTTAAGAGTAGAAAGAGGGCTCAATTCATGGGAAAAAGAAATCAAACTAAAATAAATGACTTATATTCACAGAAAAAAAGTCCAAGTCAAGCGTGGTACTGGTGTAAAAATAACTGGAGGAACTGATTAGTGCTACAGGCAGTGCTGACATGATGCCTGCTCTTGTTCGTATGGTGTCAGAGAGGGACTATACCCTCACTCTCCCTTTGCACCATGGTTTGGCTGTGCTGAAAAAGCACCAGATATAAATACTTGAATTAGGTTTAATTAGTCCTGCTACTCAGCATGCTCTCTGACTACTTCCTTCACTCCTTCAGTGATGCATCTACTCTGCCCTCCCCAGTGCCATTCTGCCTCTGCAGAGACATAACGTGCCTCGAAGTGTAAGAAATATTATTTTTAAAGTGTTGCAAAACTGAGCATAATAGTAAAAAAGACACTTACCTGAACCTTCTCTTCCCCCTCCACCCACCCATCCAAGACATACACAAAGGCTAGATCCTTCTCCACTTGGTTTCCACTTTTGATCTGATGTCACCAATCTAGCATGTGCTGGTGCATCTGACCATATCAGAAATAGACACCAAAAGTGGAGCTTCCCATCACAGGCCTCCAAGAAAACAAAACCAAAAAACCTGATTTAAACTAATACTCTTTTTTAAAAATCTTGGCTAATGGAGGCATTTGGCACATTTTGCAAAAATTAAGGGAATTCTGTTTAAGTGACTTACAAGTCACTTTTAAGTCAGAAGACAATTACGTATATTGATAAGTGTATTAGGCAAGCAGTCACTAAAATCACTGGGATGAAACTTATTTATAATACCTCCTCATCGTTTAAAGACATTCGACAAAAAATTTCCTTAGCTACATGTAGTTCTTTTTCATTTTCGTGTGTCTCTGCATTGCTTTGGAAAGTCAAACATTCCCTATAAAAGATCAGCAAAATAGCACAAGTGACTTCTCTTTAATTTGTTGTTTTATATTCATGATGCAAATTAATAGTAACCTTGATGACAATACATGTCAGAAAAATTATTAAAAACCTACAATTTTCTAGGAAAACAATTCTAAGGCATGCTGTAATAATTTGAACATTAAACTGACATGATACCTGTTCATCGTACTTTCCAAGAATTGCTACTTTTAGGATAGACCAGTTTTAGAATTAATCATTGTCACAACATTCAAACTCCCCAGTCATTTGAAATTGCTTTACATTGCAGGATTGTAGAATCTCATTTTCTTACCAAAATACGTTTTTCTGATATATGAAGAGCTTTTATGATTTTGTACAAATCAAAATTTCTTGAATCCTTCAGTTTTTATAAACTTTTACTTTTCTTTCTGTGAATCACTGTGTATGTATTAATGCAATGAAATAAGACAAAGTCTGTTTAATATTAAATAAAATTAAAATCTAAAAATGTTCTTCAAAGGCGAACTGATAGGCTTTTAAATACAAAAGAAATAAAAAGGAAGAACTAGATTAACACTTGCTCTGTGAAGGAGTGCAGGAAGAAGGAGAGAGTGCACAGAGTCACTTCCCAGTGCCTTGTCCCCCATGTCTTTAAAGGCTTTATGATTGTAAAATGCACTATTGTTCAGGGAGTACACTTCCTCGCCAACTCTGGGGCACCACTACCTCTCAGAAATAATAATTTTGATTTAAGAGTATAAATTACTAAAGCCCAAATCCTGAGATCTTTATTTCGTTTTAATTTCAGTGGAAGTTTGCCTGAGTAAAGGATGGCTCTCCTTTGTAGATAATTCTCCCCAACTGTTCCACGGAGGAAGCATTGTTCCCCAGCTGGAGCAAGCTGCTTGGACTGCCAGCAAACGGTATGGATCAGTAGGAGGCCAGTACCATTCACATGAAGTCTGCATGCCTTCATACCAGTTCTTGGCCTCCGGTTACCACCCTCCTCCTTTGCTTTCTACATTTTTGGCAGCATATTTCCAGTGGAGACAGTAGAAAAAGAAACTGACCTCTCACACAATCTGAGTGTCACATTTAGGAGCTCAGCCAAGGACAAGAGACAGGATAATGCTGAAAACTCCTCCCAGTCAGCATTGGAGGGAGAAGGAAAAAGGAACACATATAAACACAAACACTTTAAGGGCGAGGGCATCTAGTAACTGGGGCCAGGATCACTCTCTCCGGCTGTTGGGGATGAATTCCTCCCCAGAGGAAGAACCTCTACTTTATTTATGGAGGGGTTTTTATTAATCCTTACTTCTAGAGCATCATTTAAAAAATAAACAGCAGAAATGTCCAAATGTATGTTTCATATAGTCAGTGTGAACCAGTATAAATGGATCTGCTTATATAATAAGATTAGTAAATGTTATGAATCAGACATGAATTATGGTGGCTATTGGATTACATTCCATACAAATGAAAGATGAATTGTAACTAAACTGAACATACTTTTAGAGATTGTACTCTCAGATATAAATACAGGAGTCCTTAACTCTATAAAATAAAATACTGTAGCTAATTGTACAATATATGTATTAGTATGGTATACATATATGTATATATTGGTGGTATACTATTACTATAAGATGCTTAAAATCCAGCAATTCAGTACACTATTGGAAAGATTTTATAAAGACTGAGGACCCAATATGATTGAGATATGCATATTATTATATTATCTGGAACTAAAAAAAAAGGATTGAATTCCTCTTGCCCAACAGAGATGTGTGTGTCATGAATAAGGCGGCGATTTAGTCATGGAGGTCATGGATTCCGGCAGCTGCGTGAGGCAGAGGAGACTCTCACAGCTGGGAGCTGCCAGCGGAGGGGGACCCTGGAGCTCGGAGCCCCTGGAGCTCCCAGCCTACTTGGAGCTGCCGAGGCTTCTCATTTTATCATGGATATTTTTAGTAAAAGTCAGGGACAGGTCACAGGCTTCTGTGAATTTTTCATTATTGCCTGTGACCTGTCTGACTTTTACTGATGTAAGCAGAGTCAGAATGAGCTCTACCCTGACCTCTGGTGGTGAGCTGTGGAAAAGGACTTCAGGGGCTGATCTCGTTTGCATGGGCACACCCACCCTGCCTAGCATGATGGACTGCTTGCCCAAATGGTCACTTTGGCTGCTGTGGGATCCCCAGTCTCTTTGTTATTGGGGCAGGAGTAATAAAGGGTTGTTATCCTGGTTATGTGACTCAAGGACAGTAGAACTGTACTTGGCATTTTATGATGGAGGGACTCGCCCTCAACTAAGTAGCACTCGCTAGGCAAGGGACATGGGTTCCAAAAGCCAGTGAATTGAGAGAGAGGTTGGGGATAGGTATCTGTACTTGGTAGTGTGGGTGCTTTCTGAGGGCCTTGAACAGTGCTTTGACCCCTCTACTGTACACTGTGCAATAATGGAGCTAATTTTGACTCTATTAGGAGTCTTGTTACATGCTGCAGAGCTGAAATCACTGATACCTAGGTCTAAGTATTAGACCTACTTTGAGTTAGTGGTGCACCAGCATTGAGGTTCCCCTACTACCAGCTAAAATCACTGAGAGCTGAAGTTACTAAGAGCTGAGCTCACTGAGAGTTGGGGAGGCTGAAGACAAGTTGGTGAGCGGCTAGCAGGACAGCTAGCGGAGAGGCGCATGGAGAAGATGGCAGGGTGGCTGGCGGAGAGCAGTGGCCAGCAGGATGGCTGGTGGAGAGGCGTAGCTGGCGGTGACCCCTGCAGCAGAACCCCATGGAGAGGTGTGGCAATCGGCCATCAACCTGAGCAGTGGAGCACATAAGAGGCCCCCCCCCATACCTCCCCTCACTTCCACCCAAGCTGGGAGGTAAACTCTGCAGATGAATGTCTGAACTCTGGGGGCTGCACTGACCAAGGTCAGAAACTGTGGATGGGATGACTGTTGGGTTACTGGACTTAAGACCCTGAGGGGAAAAGGACACTGCCAAACTTACTTGGGGGTGGGTCTTTTGCTCATGGTTTGCGTTATGAATCCTGTTTGTGGTGTTTCCGCAATGTAATGCCGCATTGTTTCCTTCCTTTATTAAAAGGCTTTTGCTACACTCAGACTCTGTACTTGTGAGAAGGGAAGTATTGCCTCTTAGAGGTGCCCAGGGGGTGGTATGTAATTGTCCCAGGTCACTGGGTGGGGACTCAAGCTGGTTTTGCATTGTATTAGTGAAATGGAACCCCTAGATACTGAACCCGGTCCTTGTTGCTGCCAACTCTGATGGGCAGATGGCTTACACTGAAAATATCTGTGACAAAATCTTAGCCTTAGTCATGAATACCTAATTAAAAAAAATTAGGGACAAATTTTAAAACTTTATCTCCATTTGTGTACAAGCAATTCTGTATGCACAAACTTCTGCTTGCACCATTTTCAAGTGCTAACACATTTAAGTGCATTTTTCAAGTACTATCAGCTGTGCATGCAAATAATAAATTCTATCACTTGCGCAGACAGGTGATTGGATTTGCCTATGCAAATCCAATTTCAACAAACAGTTTGTGCATGTAAGTCTATATACCTGCACATACAGTTAACATTTAAAAAGTGCATGCACAAATCTGTGTGTGCACAAATGTAAGCCAGACTTAGACACCTTTGAGAAAGTTTCACTGAATTAAAAGAAAAAACAAGGTATGTAATGATGTATCACAAAGTACCCATATCGGAGGGCAGATTTGAATCCTGGTTGGTGACAGCCATTTGATTCATCTCTAGCTGGTTTCATTTATTCATGGTAACAAAGATTTTTTCTTAACTGTTATGCATAATCATAATGCCTACTATGGCAACAGGAAATACTGATGCCATTATTTTTTCCCAATATCCATGCAGTTGCTTTCTTGAAACTGTATTCTTAAGTGCCACTGGTATAAATTCCAGAACTACCACCATACCACTGAAAGGAGAGAGTGATGTTTCTTGACACCACCTGCTTGAGACGCCTTTTTCTTAAGCATTAGCTTGGTGGATATCTATGTCATAACACTACCTGCCTTTTAGGGGTTTCCCCATTGCACCTAAAGTCAGAGAACATTCTAGCTTTTGTGTCAGCAATTGCTAGAGTCTGGAAATAGTTCCTTCATCTTCCTCCTCACTTCTTAAAAAAAAATTGGCTCAAGTATTTTTTCCACAGATATTTTTTCTCTTGAACATTGTCAGAACTTGTGTAACTCACCTCCCCTACATTTTTAATTCCTCTATTCTGTTGGTTTTGCTTTTTAGTACTTTATATTCTTCTATACACACACACAACCTATTAAAAGAACATTATTTAGGATGGACCAACTTCTGTTGGTGAGGGAGACAAGCTTTGAGCCACACAGAGCGGTCCTTCAGGTCTGGGAAAGGTACTCCAAGCGTCACAGCTAAATCCTTGTATGTACTAACTACTTATGCTAAACAATCTGTTCCATCTTGCATTTAGGTGTGACAGTCAGAGTACCTTTCCCAGACCTGAAGAAGAGCTGTGTGTGACTCAAAACACTGTCTCTCCCACCAACAGAAGTTGGTCCAATAAAAGATATTACCTTACCCACCTTGTCTCTGTAATATCCTGGGACCATCATGGCTACAACTACACTGCATTATTTAGTTTGCAAAGTCAAGCATTCAAAAGTTAGAAATGTGCAAACTTAATTAAGTCCCTTTGTGCATATCCATTCACAGTCTTTAATGACTATTTTTACTCATTTTTTCCACAGTACCCCCGACCTTATTCAGTGCACGGAATGGATAGTCCTCACTTAATAGCTATTAAATATTTTGTTTTCTTATTGTTTAATGGGTGGCCCCCGGCCTTATTTACTGCACCATATTCAAACCTTGCTCTGAAGGCAGAATTATTCATCTCATGGGTACCTAGCCTCTGTTTGCCAGAAGCTGGGAATGGGCAACAGGGGATGGATCACTTGATCATTTCCTGTTCTGTTCATTCCCATTGGGGCATCTGGCATTGGCTACTGTCGGAAGACAGGATACTGGGCTAGATGGACTTTTGGTCTGACCCACTATAGCCATTCTTATCTTCCTGTACTGTTCATCAGAATAATGACTTAATTTTCATAACACCCTGTCAGATAAGGGGATATTATTATTATCCCCATTTTACAAATGGAGAACTGAGGCATCGAGGGCCAATGGGAATGCGGTGCCTAGGTGCTTTTGAAATCCCAATAGGTACCTGTCTGCATCTTTAGGCACACAAATACACTTAAAAATCTGTCCCAAAGAGGATTAAGGTCAAAAGAATCTACTACATTGGATGCCCAATCTGAAATACCTAGGACGTGACTTTTCAGATTACTTAGCATTATATAGCACTTTATATGCTCAAAGCACAGTTCCCATTGACTTCAGTTCCAGCTGTAAATGCTCAGCACTTCTGTAAATCAGACCCCTGGGTCTCAAGTTGAGCACAAAGAAAATGAGGAACATACAGCTAGTGACTATTTCTGAAAAGTTTGGCTTAAAAGACTTGCTTAGCATTACATAGGAACTCTTTGGCAGAGACCGGGATAGAATCAAGGTCTCTAGGGCAGCATTCAACTGACTTAACCACAAGACCATCCTTTTTCCTCCTGCAGTCTCCTGCCTCATTCACTACATACCTTACAACTTCTGCAACAAAAGGCCGGGTTCCTGCAGACAACATTCTCCTTCATTACATAACCCTGATTTATTGCCAGAGCATGTGTACTGAATGAGGCAGGGGTCCTACAGAAAAAGATTGTACGACAATGCATCTGCAAAGGGGGGTTGAATTACATTTGCACAGGCTACCGTAATTCTGGCATTTCCTAACCTTTGAGTGCTTGCTTTTGTAATCTTAATGATTTTATTGTAGTTGTTTGAGTGTGTAATTTGATTGCTTAAAAAAAAAATCTAACTGAAAAAAATGGAAATTCCATCATGTGATATCATATTGACACCCACATGTTTCATCAGCACAGTTGGAGCCTTTAGATCCACCCCTCAGATGTCTTCCATATCAGCATGATTTAGCCGCAAAGCTCTACTTAGCATGTGTGAACTGAGATTTTTCAAAGGCTTATAACTTGGCCAAATTTGTGTAGATATTCATGGAGATGACAAAAGACACATGCCTGGCAGAAAGGCAACCCCCCTACCAAATTTCATATGCCTGAATTTTTCAATGTGAACAAAAGAAAAAAACAAACAAACATATTTTTCACTAGCCTTGTTCTCAGAGACAGGTGAACCATTCTGGCTGAAACATTTGCAAAAATAAACAGCCTGAGGCAGAAACTTGGTATGGAATGTTTCAACCCAAATGGTTAAAGTTTGACAAAGATACACGCAACTGAAAACAAGGTCTTATAATGAGGAGTATTGGAAAACCTTAATAATAGGCCTATAATAAACATCTGATGAAGTGAGCTGTAGCTCACGAAAGCTCATGCTCAAATAAATTGGTTAGTCTCTAAGGTGCCACAAGTACTCCTTTTCTTTTTGCGAATACAGACTAACACGGCTGTTCCTCTGAAACCTGTCTTAATCATGGAGTATTTTAATTATTTGTTCTGTGCTTTCACTGAGGAAAGTTGAGTATTTAATAAATAAAATTATTATATAAAAAGGTCAAAACATTAAACTAGCTAATGAACAATTTCAGATAACTTGGTGGGCAAATGAAGAGTATTTAATAGTCAACTGGATAAGTTTTGCATGCTGCCCTACTTTTCTTTTTTCTTTTGTTTAATTTAAACAGCAAGTTAAGATCTCGATTCTGCAATGAACTTTATGCAGGCATAAATCCAAATCCTGCCCATTTAACTCAGTAGGAGTTTTGACTGACTAAGGAGGATTGGGTTCTTTTAAAGCTGAACATTGTTTCAGCACTGCAAGCTGTATTTAAAAAAAACCCACAGAAACAATCAGACATGTAGGGCCCTAAAATCATACCACCTCTCTTATTCTATTTTCTTTAACAATGTATTTAACCTCATCCTACACATTCTTCTTTCCATTACAAAGAGATTAAGTTTTTTAAACCAATTACATATCTTATTTCATTGTAATTATAAAGAAATCACAGCTGAACAAAATCCATAATGAAATAACATGAGTTAAGATGCTAAAGTGGCAATATTAAGCACGCTTATGATCCACATACATACAAGAGGAAGAGGTTTTATGTTCAAAATTATATAACAACTTTGCAAGTACCTGAAAAGGTTTTCTTCAGTCAAAATCTGTCCTTTAGAATTTAAGAGGGGATCCTTCACTAAGAAATTTTTTAGTCTAGCCAAGAGGGTATGCAGAGTAGGTAGTTGTTTACGATATTCTTCCAAATTATCAACAAAAACAAGTTCATCTGCAATATATAAATCTTGAACGAGATAAGAAAAATAATAATACAATAGCAAGAAATTTAAAAGGGATACGAAAAATCTAAACAGTTAAAATTGTGTAAAAAGACAGCTAAGTATTTGCAATTTTTAAATTTATTTTAAATGTTCATTGTTTGTAAAGTGTTTAGAATCTTAAAGCTTCTTTTTATGTTTCATTTGGCAAGCACTGATTTCCCAGCCCCCTGGCTTATTTTAAAAAAAGCATATATTAACAAGATTTCTTTCTATTCACTTCCTTGTTTGTGTACTAGCATCTGTCAGATAAAACTTTACAAATAGGGTTTTGTTGGGTAATTTACACATATAAATGAGACCAGTGTCTGGGTACTGTATTCCCTTTGCTGGGAATGAAGTACTCTTATGTCCTTCATCTCTACAGTATAATGTGTATATATAGATACAACATAAAATTTACCCTTCCCACTCTTAAAATTTGGCAACAGCAGTGGATTTATTTAAAAGTCAAGAAAACATTTAAAATGCTGAAGTACAGAACATCAGAATATAGCCGTTTTAAGATACTTCAAATTATGGGTCTTAGCTATTGGATAAGGTCCCTTTTCATTTATACTTTTACACTTTTTATCCTGAGCAGTTGGCCAATATTCAGCACTATGAGTTGTTTCTGTTAGGAGGAGAAAATGGTGATGAAGTCAGGTATTTCTTTGATGCAATCCTGTTTATTTACAAATAATGTACACAAAGTATCTAGGGTGACCAGACAGCAAGTGTGAAAAATCGGGACAGCGGTGGGGAGTAATAGGCGCCTATAGAAGAAAATGCCCCAATATCAGGACTGTCCCTATAAAATAGGGACATCTGGTCACCCTACCTGTATCCCTGACCACAGTATGAATCAAAGAATTGAACACAATTTCCTTGCTTAGAATTCTAAGTCTCTTTCCAGCCAGCATGCTGTCCAGAAAACTCTCTCTCTCTCTCTCTCAGCTTTCTCTTAGCGTTGTGTCCAGTCTTGGCTGTCTGCCTCTTTCTGACTGCTTCAACTCACACAGGGTTTGTCTACACTGCAATAAAATAACCGCAGCCAGGCTGTGGGGCTATAAAACTTCACTGTAGACGTTTGGGCTCCAGCCTCTGAGATCCCACTGTGGAGGAGGGTCACAGAGCTTGGGCCCCAACCCGAGGATCTACACTGCAATTTTATATCTCCACAGCTCAAGCCCCACGAGCCTCAGCCAGCTGACTTGGGCCAGCCGTGGGTGTTTTATTGTAGTGTAGACATACCCACACCCACCCCACCCACACACACACACACAGAGCTGCAATCAAATCAGTCCGCAGTCCCTGTCTTTGCATTCCGTCTAGTCTTTGGGCAGTGGCTTCCATTGTTTCATCTATTACTAAACAAAGGGGCACTTAATTTGTTTCCTCATAGCCTGAATGGAAGGAATGGACCAGCATGTCCAACAGTTTGAATTAGATTTGTGATTGCCCACAGATCAAAGACAAGCTCGCTGGGAGGCAGGCAACAACCTCCAACATAAAAACATTACTTCTAAAGAAAGATCTGACAAGTCTAGGGCTGCTTTCCGCTTGCAGAGAGGCACAAAGCAGCTGGAGTATGACTCACAAGGGGAACATTTCAGAGTAACAGCCGTGTTAGTCTGTATTCTCAAAAAGAAAAGGAGTACTTGTGGCACCTTAGAGACTAACCAATTTATTTGAGCATTTGTAAGGAGAGTGGTCACTTTAGATAAGCTATTCCCAGCAGGAGAGTGGGTTTGCGTGGGGGGGGGGTGAGAAAACCTGGATTTGTGCTGGAAATGGTCCAACTTGATTATCATACACATTGTAAGGAGAGTGATCACTTTAGATAAGCTATTGCCAGCAGGAGAGTGGGGTGGGGGGAGGTATTTTTTCATGCTTTGTGTGTATAAAAGATCTTCTACACTTTCCACAGTATGCATCCGATGAAGTGAGCTGTAGTTCATGAAAGCTTATGCTCAAATAAATTGGTTAGTCTCTAAGGTGCCACAAGTACTCCTTTTCTTTTTCAGGGGAACATTTAACTCCAAATTTAGATCTCTATGGAACATAAAAAGGAAGCCACTTTCAGTAACTTTAAAGTCTTGAACATTTAAAAATATCAATTTTGCACTTTCACATTAGAACTTTCCTAGACATTCTACTTTTCCTAAGGCCTTTCAAGGACACTCCATTTTGGGGTACCATAGAGAGTTGCCAAAACTGTGCAGAGTTTGAAAGCTATACAAAACAAATAATTTCATATAAAGAAACCACCCATTCAACAAGTAATGCCTTACTAAGAGACACCTCATTGAAAGATGGCTCATTTAAAAATGGCTATGAAAGCTGCTAGGGCTGCCTACAAAGTTTACAATATCTCCCAATCATGGAGCTTACAATCTCTGCTGTAAAGCTTGTAAGATCCCCAACCAAATGGCTCTATATTTATTTATTTATCAAACAAAGCATTTAAATGCAAAAAATCCCCCAAACATTAATGCAAATTAAGGCTGAGAAATTAAGCACTCAAAAGTCATTCAGAAAGTTGTTTGTTCCCCAACAACATTAATTTGACTATACTGCACCAATGCAATATTTTCTATTACTCTTTTCCTTACTTAATATACAAGTAGGATATGAATTCAATACCACATACCCTAAAACAAGGCTAAAATAAGGCATAATTGAGCCCTCAATTTGCATAACAATGCTGCATTTATAATCCTGATGTAGTAATTCTTCAATGGTCTGTTTTCATCAAATGGTTCTAAAGGGCTTTAAAGGTATGAGAAATGGCTTAGTTTCCAATTAGTCTTAATATTTAATTACTTTAATGCATTTTAATCATTTTAATTAGCATATTTGCTTGTTAGCTTCAATAATCTTGTTATCATTTAACAATTAAGCATATGCTCAGCTACTTTACTGAACAGGGGTGGATATAAGCACATTCTAAATTGCTTTATTGAGATGGGGCCTTATAGCTGGAGCAACCTGTAGTTAAGGACACATAAATGTCTGTTAAAAACTGCTATTTTAGCTTACAACTACTCAATTTTTATCTTGGGAGTTGAAATTTTCAGGCTTTGCTCTTTACCAAGGATGAATATTTTGAGAACGGTTTAGTGAGTTCATTTGTTTCATCCATCTTTGAGTACTAAGAGAGTGGAGGGAAAAACATACATTTGCCATTTAAAAAAATATTATTGCAATCAAATTATATTGCATTCTTTGAGACACAGTATAACTAAAAACTGTATCATAATGCCTAGGCACAAGAGAACATGGTTAAGGTTACCCATGGAACTTTCAAAAAATGGCATGAATAATCGTAAAGTGTAACTGTGCAATCTTAATTGTAGTTGAATTGTAATTCTGTAATATATCTGCTGTGTTATCATACACACTTTGGTCTCGATTCAGCATTCCATTCCTATTGATCAAAATACTAAAATGTGTGGGTAAATCCACTAACTTCATTGGGACATAAGCATGGGCTCAAATGCTTCGCTGATTATAGATTTAAGCACATATTTAAATTAGGGCTGTCAATTCATTGCAGTTAACTCACATGACTAACCCAAAAAAATTATGACGATTAAAAAAAATTAATCATGATTAATTGCACTGTTAAACAATAGAATGCCAACTGAAATTTATTAAATATTTTGGATGTTTGTCTACATTTTCAATATATCTATTTCAATTCCAACACAGAATACAAAGTGTTATTTTTTATTACAAATATTTGCACTGTAAAAATGATAAACAAAAGAAACAGTATTTTTCAATTCACCTCATACGAGTATTGTAGTGCAATCTCTTTCTCATGAAAGTGCAACTTACAAATGTAGGTTTTTTGGTTACATAACTGCACTCAAAAACAAAACAATGTAAAACTTTAGAGCTACAAGTCCACTTAGTCCTACTTCTAGTTCAGCCAATTGCTAAGAGAAATAAGTTTGTTTACATTTATGGGAGATAATGCTGCCCACTTCTTAATTACAATGTCACCTGAAAGTGAGAACAAGCATTCGCATGGCACTGCTGTAGCTGGCGTCGCAAGATATTTATGTGCCAGATGCCCTGAAGATTCATATGTCTCTTCATGCTTCGGCCATCGTTCCAGAGGACATGCTTCTATGCTGATGACACTTGTTAAAAAAATAATGTGTTAATTAAATTTGTGACTGAACTCCTTGGGGGAGAATTGTATGTCTCCTGCTCTGTTTTACCCACATTCTGCCACATATTTCATGTTATAGCAGTGTCGGATGATGATCCAGCACATGCTGTTTGTTTTAAGAACACTTTCACTGAAAATTTGACAAAATGCAAAGAAGATACCAATGTAAAATTTCTAAAAAGATCGCTACAGCACTCGATCCAAAATTTAAGAATCTGAAGTGCCTTCCAAAATCTGAGTGTGATGAGGTGTGGAGCATGCTTTCAGAAGTCTTAAAAGAGCAACACTCTGATGTGGAAACTACAGAACCCAAACGACCAAAAAATAAAATCAACCTTCTGCTGTTGGCATCTGACTCATGATGAAAATGAACATGTGTCGGTCTACACTGCTTTGGACGGTTATCAAGCAGAATCTGTCATCAGCATGTCCCCTGGAATAGTGGTTGAAGCATGAAGGAACATATGAATCTTTAGTGCATCTGGCATGTAAATATCTTGTGACACTAGCTACCACAGTGCCATGCGAATGCTTGTTCTCATTTTCAGGTGACGTTGTAAACAAGAAGCAGGCAGCATTATCTTCTGCAAGTGTAAACCAACTTGTTTGTCTGAGCAATTGGCTGAACAAGAAGTAGGACTGATTGGACTTGTAGGCTCTAAAGGTTTACACTGTTTTATTTTTGAATGCAGGTTATTTTTGTACATAATTCTACATCTGTAAGTTCAATTTTCATGATAAAGAGAAAGCACTACAGTACTTAGCTGAATTGAAAATACTATTTCTTTTGTTTTTTACAGTGCA